GACTAATCAAAAGGTTCGAATATGTAGTTGTGTTGAATTCAGATTCTTCCCAATTTAAAGAATTTGCTATTGGTGTTTGACTTGGTGTTTGACTCATTATTTATGTGTGGTTTGATTTGTTTATTTGTTTTGAGATGAAATTTTTTATTCAAAATTATTATTTTATATTTTTTAAATGTTATAATAATAAAAATACCCCAATATAATTTTGAACCAATAATGGTTATATCAATAATATCAATAAAGTTTTTATAGTTATTTCTATTCCAAATCAATTGTTATAAGTCTTTGCCAAAATTTCACAAACCTAAATGTTCGGCAAATTTTGAGAAATGTGAAAATTTGCCAAATTATAATTGTAGTGAAAAAATTATATTTTTTTAGTTAAATTAATTTATATAAATCGTTTCCCTTATCTGTATAGAAAAATATATTTTAATTTAAACATAATAAAATAATATATTATTTGATATTTTTTTACAATTGTGGCGACTTTATGGGAATTAACAAAAAATTTTTTAAAAAAATCTTTACCATATTTGTAAAATGCCGAAACAAAAAAATAAACAATTTATGATGAAAAAAAACATAAAATCACTTATTTTGAATTATTGAAATTGAAATATTTTATTTTTTATTAAATCACTTTTATGACTTTGTTTGTTTGGGTATTTGATGATTTACATTGTAAGTTGAATTGTTTCTGTATTATTTGATAATTGATTGTCTAATTGATTGTTGTCAATCAAAACAACAGTTCATAATTTTATTATTAACATCTTTAAATATACAACAGATGTTGTATTTAAACCTTGGACTTTTAAAACAATCAATTTTAATATCTTATGTGCATGTACATGTGAGCCTTAAGTCATAACATAAAATTTTTGTAAATTGTTGTATTAGTGTTAATGTTTAAAGTTTAATTTGATTTTACATGTTTAAAAACTTAAAAGATACGACATTTATAATTTTTTAGGTTGTTTTTAATAAAAACATTGTGATTAACTTGAATCATTATACACTAACTGTTGTTATTTAATTATTGAATAATATTATTTGATAAATGTCTCCATTTAACTCTATCATAATAGTTGTGGTGTTATAGAAATATTGTGTTTGTTGTTATGTGTTATAATTTGAAACACAATAAAACTATAGTTAAAAAACAATTGTATATAATATCTCGCTTATATGTGGTTTTCAACAAATAGCTGTTGAATGATAATTGTGAACATAGACTTAGTTACACAATTAAACAATTGTTTTTATTTGATTTTTCTTTGTTTTAACAAAATGTCTAACAAATTACACAAAATAATAACCAATATTTGAGAATAAAAGTCATTAACAGTCATTATTCAATTGGAAATAATTGTTTACAATTACATTTGTATATACAATATTGTATATCTGTTATTATAATTGTTAATTAATTTGAACGTTTAATTGTGTTGATAACTTTGTTATGTGAATAATTGAAAACATTGTTTTCTTATGAAGTTAACAAAATACAATTCAACTATTGTTCGTAACAAGCTTTAAAATGTTTTATTAACCTTACAATGGTGTTAATAAAACAAAATAAATAACATTTCTTTTTTTGACAAACTTGAGTGGCGCCCTTGTAATTCAAATATCGTTTCCAAAAATCATGTAAAACAAAAAACAAAAAAAACAATAATATAATTGCAAATTATATTGAAAACTAAAGTCTTAACATTTGTTAACCAAATATCACCAAATACAGGACATGTCATATCACATATAGTATATAAGCAACATAATAATAATAATATTTCATGGAAGAAATATCAAAGATATATTCAACAAAGAAAGAAAAAGGTGTCGATATACATGTTTATTCTTGGGAAAAAATAGAAGTCGGGTGTAATGTAGACCCATTCCAAGAAACATTTCATCCTCCTGTAATAGACTTCAGTGAAGATATTATTACTGCATTCAACGAATATTTTACTGTTGAAATGAAAGATATGATTATTTTAAATACAAACAATGTAGGGAAATTGTTTTATGGAACAAGATGGACAATTTTGAGTTGTACAGAATTTGATGCCTTTGTTGGATTGTTACTGTTTCAAGGTGTCACAAATGACAATAGAAAAAGTCTTGATTTTTTGTATAGTAAGCACGGCAACCCCTTTTACAGAGCAGTGATGAGTGAACAACGTTTAAAACAATTGTTGAGAGCGTTAAGGTTCGATACAAACGCGTCAGAACGAATTAAAGATCGAATGACAAAACGTGTTATTACTACCCCGAACCCGGAAAGAATCGAAAAAAAGATAATCGAGTCCAAACCAACCAAAAAACAAAACCCAACATTTTCTCATACAT